CCACGACAGTTGCTGTGCCACTCAGAGTTTTAAATCGCAAAGATCTCAGCTGCACTGCCACTGAGCCCGTTACCCTGAGACATAAGTTGCATGTGCCTGTTATTTCACCAGCATCCCTTATCTGCTTGGCGGCTGAAATAGGTAAGGTGGTAGAACTTCCCTGGAAGATTTTCACAAGAAGCTCTACTGCTACTACAAGCGTATAACTGCAGCGTCACACTTTTGCAGACTAGATATTGTATGTAAATTAGTAATGGCGCATCTGCAGCGCCATAGACGTGCCACTGGAACGCTTCTACAAGCGCCTAATTTGAAGGCGCCCTTACGCCTTAAAAGCCCCACGCATCGAGTGTATAACCAGAAATAGAGACGAAATAAGGGACATCCATCAGGCAAATGGGCCTTATGCGCCGTTTGCGATGAAATCTCAAATTAGAAAGCTGAAATATTACAGCGCCAACAACTGACCTGTGTGTAGGTCTTCATAATTCCAAAGATATTATGTATTTATTGTAATAAAGATACTATCTCTAACAATGGGGGCTGTTACATTCGGTGATGTGGGAAAAACAGCAAAACATCTAATTACAAAACAAACGGAATACGGTAATTACATATCAAATATGTAATTTTTCAATTTTCGTCCATTACAGCAAAGCTCAAGTTAAACTAGTCAATTTGAAGTGAAACAATTGACGACACCCGTTAATTGTTTCCAATTCGGACTTTGCAGTTTTCGCAATGATTTGGCAGAATAGGTTTCAAACAAATTAAACGACATTTTGTCTCTATTTCTGGTTATATTGTCTATGGCCCCAAGTTACGAGACGTTCGAACAAATCTGCAAACAGGTAATTGTCCTTAAATTCCGTACGCCATAATAATTGTGGAACTGTAATGCTTCCATCTTGCGTATATCTACAACATAGTTGTGGAACCTTAGCCCACATCTAGTCCCCCGATGATAGTAAGGATGGCGGAATGATTTCATGCAATTCCATTGCACATTCTCGTAATTTTAGTTTCTGGATCATACATTGACGGCCGCCGTAGTCGAGTGGCTTGCATGGCGGTTTTCATGGTGTCTCTGAGGTCCCAGGTTCAATCCCCATCTGGGTCAATGTAGAAACTAACTTTTCTAGTCTCGGGTCTGGGTGTTTGTGGTACCGTCGTTGTTTCCGATATATTTATATTCCGATATATATATTTATTTATATTTACATTTGAGCCTCAATCTGGCAACAATATCCCCAATCTCGTCCTCGGGCAAAGAATTACCAGCATGCCGACAAATAACCCTGGCAACACTGGCAGGCACCATGGGCAAACGACAGTTGCGAACGGCACGGGAAACTTCGCGCCAACGGACTCCAAACTCAGGTAACACTGACACACAGATAACGGAGAGTGGCATTTTTGTTATTATTGTTTGCAGGTCCTGGAGTTCTGAAAGAAAAATGACAAATTTCAATTTAATATAAAACACTGTAGTTACAGGCTAGTTAGGAGAACCCTTGTATCTCATGCAGGTCCCTCAGGTTTGCTTTGTTTGGTTTATAACACCCTGTTATAGCCGTTCCAACACGTCCATCATTGAACATAAAACATATGTGTATGCAATAGAGTTTACAATACAATGTTGTCTTTTTCTGTTACCAATATTTTAAAAATTTACCAATACACTGTAAATTCTATGTACCACACAGTCAATTAAAAAAATTAACAAGAAATATTTTTTCACACCCTGATTCGAATCTCAAAAATCGAAGATGTAACTGATCTATTGTAAATGTGAACTTTTTTAAATAAACGATAACCTTTTTTATGTTTGATATGCAGCGAATGCCATGGACACACACATAGACAACCACAAATTACAGCCAAACTCACGAGAGAAATAAATGAAGACCATACAAATATTTCTGTTGGTCCGGGAATCGAACCCGGGACTTCTGTGTGGCAGTCCAGCAAGGTAACCATTCGGCCACGGAGGCAGTTATCTAATTATTAACTGTCTATATTCGTTGAGTTACAGGTAAAGTAAAATTAGGTACATAGCATGCAAAGATACATTATATTCAGATGTGCAAATATTAGTGGTATTTAATGTTTAGTCTCTATATCTCTAAATATTCTTTATTACTAAAGAAGCTATGTGTGAAAAGCCATTTAGTCAATTGTAATTTAAAACTATGTCCTTGTAACAATTTAATTTCATTTGGTAATTTATTAAAAATAATTATACACATGTTGAAGTAGTTATTTGATATAGGAAATAAAACTATTTATCCGAATTTAAATCGCATACATTTGTTTTTTGTTTTGTTTCTTGACTGACTGACTGACTGTAGTCAACATGACCATGCGACCTGTAAAGGGCCCAAAATGTTGGTTTGTTTGTTGATTCATTTCTTATGTGTAACAATCCCAAAAATCTAAGAACTCAATAACATTTGATAGTCAAAAATAATAATATTTGATCCTCTTTTTTCATATAGTCTTGGTTGCGTTCTCAGTAGGTCAGGTCAGTTTATGAAGTAGCAGCACGAACCAATCGAGAGTATCGCAGCTGCGTCCGGCGAGTGTCAGAAGCGAATTTGCTAGCATTTCGGAAAATGATTTCAGGTTTTTTAATGCTCATCTGTGTTACTCTAGAGACTCACCATAAAATTATTGAAGTTAATATACATATACAAATCAAACATTAGCTCTGAGCACAGAAAATATACATTGATTTAATTTATTTCATGTCTCAGAGAAAAAGGATCAATCATCAAAAAAGATGACTTACATTTTGTTGCCTGCTGCTTTTGCAAATTTAAAATGATCATTTAAATACATATTTCATATTTAAACCAATAGATATTTTATATCTATTGATTTTGAATGCTGTATTTAAAAATATTATTTATTTTAATATATTAAAATATTGTATCTTTAGACATTAACTAATAATATTAAAACAATGCTCAAAACTAGTAAATTCAATGAATTTGTATACAATGCTTCGGTATGTTTAAATTACGTTACAAATAATAAATGAGACAAATTTCTCGTGTAGTTTATCAAATATAATCAACCACATACAGTTAAGCACCAATTTCAACAAAAACGATAAAAAAAACACATTAAAAACCTGCTCCAAATTGAAGTTTCCGAGCTCGTAATAACTAACAAAATATTTAACAAAACTAATTCACTTACTATCTCTGGATGTCGTTTGCATTTTAACAATTTTAACTTGTTTCCACTTTTACTTTCTGCCAGTTTTCATCAGTATTCACATAGAAAAACTATAAACTCGCCTCACTCGCCTACATTTAGAAAAATGAAAATTATACGAAAACCAAACAACATACCACTGTTCGTTAAATTTTAAAGTTTGAATTTCCGTTCATTCCATTAAACTCGAAATGCTTGCTTGTCTATAGATTAGACAAGGATAATGAATACTTATGTGTAATGTTAGAAAGAGAACATGGACCAAAGACAATATTTTTTTTCTTATTTCTCTTGCTCTTCGCGTTTTAGCCACTTTCAAAGTGTTTTGACTAACTTTAAAAACGGTCTATTCACACATATCCGGGCCTCAGCACGGGCCCGCAGTTCATACAAACTAGCACGCCCAGTCCAAGTCCCGGGCACGACCTTGATGTGTGTGAAAAAAAACTTTTTTACTTTTTTTAATAACTTTTACTTTTAAACGGGGATACTTTTATAATATCATAGAATGTAATTTGGAACCGGAATTCGAAACAAACAAATTTGACAGTTATGTACTAGCGTTGCCATAATACAGGCAATTAATTTGACCAAAGTTGGTTATTTTTCATTGTTATCGATAAGATTTAGTTTATTTGTATTTGTGTGTGATTGATGATTGTATTTATATTACTTCTAATAGAGGATGGAAAAAATATATATTGTCGAAGAGTCAGTTACATGAAAGCCAAATGTACCTTTATTCTGCCAATGGCATATTATATTAACCAGTGCCATTGGAATTTCCACACGAAGGTACTATTATAGGGCAAACACCAGTCTAACCTTGATCGATATACAAGGTGAAAAAATCAATGGCACATGAAGAACTACTTGACTTGAAATGCTTGAGATAATGTGTATGATATTCTCAGCTATATCACGAACTTTTTTAATTGTAAGAGCTAATGTTCATTGGAGAGATTTTTTATCCTTTTTTTGATCCTATCGATTAGTACAGTTTATTTATCATTAGTATCTATTATGCAGGTATTAATTAAAAAAATAATAACGTTTCCTGTAAAACTATCTATCTAAAGTATTAAAGGTAAATTTCCTTCCATGTCCCATTGATTTTTTTACACCTGTATAGGAACCTTAAATAAAACAATGATACCGAAGTAGATTTAAATTCAGAGTTGCTGAAACTCTGAATTTAAATCTGAAACTCTATGGCTGAAATGCCGCAGCTTGCTTTCCGGCGGTAATAGACTCAACCATAAATTGACTATGGCTTACATACTACCTACTAAAGTAAAACAAAATAAATAAATGAAGTTTTAATTTTAAACAATTTATTTATACACAAAATACATTAGATACTGTAGGGCAAATGTACGATCTCTTCTAATGATCGTAAGATTTTTAGAAAAAAAATGTCATTAAACTGACCAATCCTATGCCACCAACCGGCTATCTGATTGGTCAGTTCTTGATTGACATTATTTTTTAAATTTATTTCATGACTTTGGATTCAAGGACACTTTATTACACTAATTAAAAAGTAAAATAAAAATACGCATTACATGTGGCGACCTTGTAAAAACTAATTATATTTTTAAAACAAGAATGTTGCAGTCGTCGTCGCGCTCTCTAACCTCGTACTCAACGTCTTTCATTTTTCCTGTACTGTTTCGTTTTTCCACCTTTTTTGGGGAAATACTGGGTTTAAATTGACCCATCTTGGTTTTCACAACTTTCTTTTTATTTCTGATGTTATTACGTTTATCACTTTGTTCATGCAAGCTTTTATCGATAAATTCTTTATATGAATCGTTGAAGGAAGACGGAGACTGCATTTTTGTAATCTTATTAAGCTTAACATTTTGATCATCAAGCGCTTTTAAAATATTGTCTGAATCTTTCTCATCAGCCAAAGAGAATGTACTTCTACGTAATTGCTTCTGTAATATAGGAGATACCTCATTGCTGTCTGTGTTACGTTTTAGTCCTTTCGAGCCAAGGTTTTCAATGGCTTTAGCTATCTTTTTACCATTCCCATCAGCTTTCTTTTTCATGTCCAACAAAAGAAATGATCGATTTGTAGTAGTGATTACTTCATCATCTTCATCGTAATGCGTCAAAATTGACGTCATGTCGATAGCTTTATTAATTAGTACCTTTAAAGTGTCTATGTTTATTTTAGCAGCGTCTAGAACAATATTGTCCATTAAAGTTTTGAATTGGAGGTACAAGTCACCGTCCTCTGATATTTCACTGATTGATGCTTGCTCTAATAAATCTGTGATGGTATAAGACTTGTATTTATTGGATAAGATATACGGCTTGCATTCGTGACCACTGTGGTTTGGGTAATAATGAACTTGTATGCCTTTGGAAAACTCTTGATATGTTACGGTTGAGGGGCAAAGGTGTGTGGTGTCCCCTTTAGTATCGGGCGTATAGGAACAACAGTAGATGTGTTTTGTACTGTATTTAGCCATCACCAGGTACTTGCATTCAGTTTGATTTTCCATTTCTTCCCTCCATTTGTTGAATTCTGCAAAAATAATAATGAACACACAGATGAATAAACAAATAAGTTTGAGGCGTCACCATTTTTAAAGCTAAGCTCCAAAGTTTTGTTACGTCCATTATGAACTAAACCAGAGAAAAGAGATTTGATTAAATATCACTTCTCTACGTATTGAAAATAACAGAAATTTTGGTAGGAAGTGTACTGTAACAATCGCGAAAACCTAAGAACTCGATAGAAAGTATACTGTTGTGACCTGAAAATTTTGTGCATACTTTTAACATGTTTTTGCCAACAAATAACGGGTCTTATTTGAGACCATACTTAGCTCATTTCTTAATATTACACAATATTACAGTATTTATTTGAAAAAAAAAAAAAAATTAGCTCAGCACATTGATCTTTGACAGCAGTTTGTCATAGGCGGTGGTTCTTTCTGTCCAGTATTTAGTCAAGCTACATTCCCACCTATGAGAAAAAATATGCCCGAGCCAGAGGTGACTAGATATTGTGTAGATTGTCTGAATGACAATCTACACAATATACAGTACAGTACAGTAAATAAAATTCTATTATTCTTGGATTCAAGACTAATTACAGAATTAGTGACGATCACAATAAATCAATTACTGGTTGAAGGACGGTCTAATACCAATAGCCCCTAACCCCGGTAGAGTGCATCATTGCTGGAGAATACAGCTAAATTATCATTTAAAAATTCAAAAACCCTTTAGGTCATAGGAGAGATGAAGACATAAAATAGAATAAATAATAATAGTGCTTCATTATAACAGAAGGTATTGAAGGTATAATAATGATAGGATGGAAAATAATATTTTGTCCAGTCAAATAAAGTTTTGTGGCCCGTCGTTTTACGCAATAATCCCACCAACATCATGGTTGGGAGATCCAGTGTTATGTTGAGACAAATTGACGGCTTTTGAGAGGTTTTTGCAGTCATTTGCGCCCGCCGTGCCCAATCGAGGACAGTACTTTGAGTACCCGTAATTCTTTATATTAGGTACTATTAATACTCATTACAAGTGTACATGTAAAGAGAGTGAGACGCTAAAGTTAGTTGTTTTTCCGGTATGTTATTACCAACAATTTATTTATTTCTTTACATATATTGTTGAAATATATTCGTACACTATAAAATAAAAATTATATAACTGAGTTAAACAGTGTTTTCACAACTTCAGTCGGTGGTATATAACGATGCCCCCAATTGGGGACATTGGGCGCATACGGGGTAGTTTATTAATTTTTCATTATATAAGTGATTTTCAAGGAAATAATGACACAACGAGTATTTGGCTACCACAATTATTACTATAGACTTCAGAAAGCGAAGCTGTAATGGATGAGAAAGACCATGATGTGGCGATAGATTTAGGGGGTATTTCTCGTTGAACCGAGTGCGCTCACCGATATATTTATCTAACGAGATCTTATAATCTACGGTAAACTGGTTATCGAACAACTGAAACTGTCTGCAAAGGAAAAACTAAGAAATATCTACTAGTACCAGATTTGTAATACACATGAGTAGCGCCAACCGTGCCAATTTTGACTATCGATTTCACCCAATCAACCAAATTCTGTTCGTTCTATGGCTTGACAATAGTATTTGCACGATGAGCTCTGATTATGACAATGTCCTTTCCTTGGTGAAAATAAAACATTGAAGCGCTGTGAATAAACAGAAATTTTGACGTGGGTATCCCGCGTGATTTCAAACTTACCAGCAGGATAAATCAAACTGACTAATGTTTTTGTATCGCACTGCCATTCGAGGCAAAAACTGGTGGTGTTTTGTTCCGCTACAAGCGGGACCTAGCACTAACTAATACACGGCGTTTACATCTCCTGACCAATGATACGAAGCTAGATCAGCTACAGTTTAGCGGTTACATCACGTCACTATTCGAGACACAAATACTCAAAGTTTACATCCAGCAGAATCTTTGGTACTAAATCTACAATACATTGGTGTTGATCACCACGCTCAGAAGTTGGCTTAACAGTTACGATGTGTAAATAGCTGTTGAGCTACAAATAAGCGCGTTGGCAATATAAAAAGTGCATCAAATCATTGTGCACCGACAAATATTGTTACAAATTTTTTGACACTGAGCCCATTGTCCCCATTTGAGGACGGCATTTTTTTTTTCAAATAAAATAAAATAAAATCTTTTTTTTCTTCATAATTTTCTCATAGGTAGGCAATTTTTTAAAGGTTCATAAAAAATTTTACTTTTTTAACGATAATTTGTATTTGGGTGTTAACGGGTTAAGATGTTAGATGAGACAAATGGACAAATTGACGGTTATTGAAAATCTATTTTATTCTAGTTAGGTTCGAACATCGAGTATATAACCAGAAATAGAGGCCATCCATCCCTGGCAACTCATCAGGCAAATGGGCCTTATATCACTTTTGAATATGAACCCTCGTTTGCACTGAATTCACAAATTAGAAAACTGAACTAGTACAGCGCCAACAACTGACCTGTGTGTACGTTTCCGTATATATTCCAAAAACATTCTGTATTTATTGTAATACAGCTAATATCTCTAACAATGGGGGCTGTCCCACTCGGTGGTGTGGGAAAAACAGCAAAACATCTAATTAAAAAACAAACGGAATCACATTTCATCAGTAATTAAATATTAAATAAGTAATTTTGCAATTTTCGTCCATTAAAGCAAAACTCAAGACAAACTGGTCGATTTGAAGTGAAGCAATTGACGACACCCGTCATTTGTTTCGAATTTGGGCTGGCCAATCGGAGCGCAGTTGTCACCGTAGCGACATGGCAGAGTAGTTTTCAAACAGATTAAATGACATTTCGTCTCTATTTCTGGTTATATATTCGATGGGTTCGAATGAATCTTTACTTAGTATTTACTTATTTACCTTCATTAGTCCGAAAGAACATGTTCTCAACCCCGTCAGCATGCATCCCCGTAACATGAACATGGTACATCTTCATGTTGGTAAACTTCTGTTGACAGCTCATGCATTCGTAGGAGAACATTGTAACCAGCGTACGGGTGATTGGACAATCATGAGAGTCCGTGAATTTAAGGTTGCACCTTACACATAGCTCCACTGACAATGGCTTTATCAGATCAGGTGAGTTTGGATTCCTGAAAAATATATTTTTAATACTAAACATTTTATTTTAACCCATTTTCTCTGAAGTTCCTGACATTTGGCTAGTTCAGGATGCAACCCAAGACTGCGCTCAGGTTAGCTAATTAGCCATCTTTTAGCATGCTACGTTTGAAACCCTTATTATTTAGGATATGAAACTATTTTTCCGGATGTAAATCGCGTATATTTGTTTTTTCAAACAAACCAACGTTTCGGGCCCTTTACAGGTCTCATGGGCCCGGTTGACTCGAGGTGGGACAATCATTAACCAGTTATGTCTAATATTAATGCAAACCACCCTATTTTTTCACTATAGCCGTGGCCATGGGACCTGTAAAGGGCCCGAAACGTCGGTTTGTTTGAAAAAACAAATATACGCGATTTAAATCCGGAAAAATAGTTTCATTGCCTAAACGGAGAAAAGTTAAACTTTGTTAATAAAGCAGTCTTCTTGGGAGTGTCCTTAGATAGTAAACTTCAATGGTTTCCACAAATATCTTCCCTGGCCAGCAGGTTAAGCTCCGCTGCATACGCAGTCCGCAGAATACGTGAGCTTACAGTTAAAGTGTATTCCATAGCATATAAGTTTATGTGAAAAGAGCAATCCCTAGAGTTTCTTGCTCGTTCTTCTCAGGGAGGTCAGCGTAGTGAACGAGCAGTAGGTAGCTTAAATGTGACGATTTCAAGTGTAAATTTATTTTACCTATGGAATAAATAATCTTTGACTTTGTTTGTTTGAAAAAACAAATATAGGTACGCGATTTACATCCGGAAAAATAGTTTCAATTCCTATGTGTAACAATCGCCATCATTCAATTACAATTTGCGAAAGTTTAAGTGCGCCCCAGAGTTTTAATTTACGTTTATTTTTATATGTTTCATGTAGGAACTATTGGTTTGTGTCTAAATATTGGACGAATTGTGATAGTGTACTAGACTTGTGTCATGTTTAGGTTATGTGTAAATAAACTTTCCTAATTCGTAAACTTTATGTATATTAGATTTTCTATTGTACGGACAAATAAACATGAAATCGATGAGGAAGAAGTGAAGTTTCATTTGGGAACATTTTGACCAGATAGATAGTAAACAAATATTGCCATGGGAATTCACTCGCTTGCGTCAACCAACTTCCAGTTCTTCCTGTGCAGAGTTTGCAACCATCCACCTCCAAAGAATCAATATGGGATGAGTTCGATGATTGCAAGTGCTGTAGTTTTGTGTGTCTTCTCTAAATATACACTCCCGGACACGTAATTCGAGCCACCTTGCATTTTCAGTATCAAAAATTTGGATAGGCAAAACCGGGGAAAAACTTTTTGTTCGACGATAACACTACTTTTGTATTCTAGTCCTTTATGAGAAAAATGCGAGGGGGCTCGAATCACGTGTCCGGAAGTATATATTTGAAAGCGTTAAATCGCACCAACCAACACGAGATTAACTAAAATACCTATCTTAACGGTCATTCTCAGCCTAATCACCGTAGCCATTTCGGTGGCATCAGCCTGATTACCGTAGCCATTGTTTTTGGTCTGGTGGTCGAAAAGGCTCGAGCCTTTTAGCCCTAAATTTAAAGTTTGCGAGTCTTTTTTAAAGGCGGACTCACAAAAGAGTTCGAAAAGGCTCGAGCCTTTTAGAACTAAATTTAAAGCTTGCGAGCCATTTTTAAAGGCGGACTCACAAATCAGTAGTTCTAAAATTGCTCACTATAAAAGGGTTTGAGGCTTTTTTAGGCCGAGGCTTTTTTTAAAGCATTTTTAGAAGACTGGCGTTAGCGGTCAAAAAGGCTCGAGCTTTTTAGCCTTTTTTTAAGACTCACCGCTTTATAGTGATGGCTACAATATTAATAATAATAAATGGATAATAATAAATATGTCACTACATATGCACACAACGCTATCTAGTCCCAAAGTAAGCAAACTAAAGCTTGTGTTATGGATACTAGACAACCGATAAACAAACATATACATTTATAGACACAGAACAAATTATCATGTTCATTACACAAACATTTGTCCTCGGTGGGAATCGAACCCACGACCTCTGGATTAGCAGTCAGGATTACTAACCACTACGCCACGACGCCACTATTCTAAAAAGGCTTTAAAAAAGCCTAGGCCTAAAAAAAGCCTCAAGCCCTTTTTTAGTGCGCCATTTTAGAACTACTGTTTTGTGAGTCCGCCTTTAAAAAAGACTCGCAAGCTTTAAATTTAGGGCTACAAGGCTTGAGCCTTTTTGACGGCTAGCAAAAGCCATAACTACAATTAGCCTCGAGGGCTTGAGAGTTATTTAGCTTTTTAGCCTTCTAGCCATCGCTATAAAGCGGCGAGTCTTAAAAAAGGGCTAAAAGGCTCGAGCCTTTTCGACCACTATTTTGGTCGCATAATATACCCAATAATATTTAAATACGAACAACTTAACTATCAATGCGTCTAAATGGCATTAGAATAGACAAAGTAGTTATCGAATTATTAAGAATTATTACCGTTTCCATAAAACGTTATTAATTAAATTTTTAAGAAAACATAAAAACAAAAATTATAAAGAACAACTAACAACATATAAATAACTTTCATTTAATTTTTTTCACTATTTGCAATGAATTATACTGATATATATTTTTTTATCTACACACATATCATAAACCCTCTATGATGTGTTCAAAAACCGCAAATTACGACCAGCATAAAGATTTACTATTTTGTTAGAACAAATTTCTTATCTGTGAAAATTATATTGTTGCTTCTTAATTTAACATCAAATTCGATTTTATTATTACATTCAAATTTCGAACATCTGTGAAAAACAAAACAATTTGATTCGACCTCTATTCTAATTATCAGTCGAGATGAAGTTTTAATCGAAATGAAATGTCAATAGCAAACAATTTTGACAAATTTCACACTTTACTTGATATCTATTAATGATTTGATAGTTGGGGCTGATTCTAGTTTGTCTATGAATTAAATAAGAACTACGGTTGTGTGACATGCGTGAGAAAACTTTTTATTTGCCGCCATTTCGCCAATCGTAACATGCGGTTACTGAACACATCATAGAGAGCTTATAGTATGTGTATAGATAAAGCAGTGTATGTAACTGTACATAATTAGGCATTAAAACACTTGTGCGTTTTATGAAGCTCGTTTCATAAGCCCACACTCGTGTTTTAATGCCTTCCATTATGTAACAGTCACATAAACTACTATTTATAAACTTTTAAGGCTTTTTATCCGCAGAAATAATTATAATGTAAATTACTACACTGTTCTTGTAACAGCTGTGATTAATCAGAAGAAAGAATTGGAGTCATTTTTACTCTTTACTACTAACCAAAAATTAAGAAACCTACTTTGAATTTATTTAAAAAAAATCTTGAATGGCACTTGTACCAGTAGAAATAAACAACCAAATGTAGCAAATTATATAAATAATAATTCATCGGTGTCAGAAATAGTCGGTTTTTCTTAAAAATGTTTGAACTTTCTAATTACCGTTTCCATAAAATATTCGCGTCTCAATAACTCGAAAATTACTTTGTCTATTCTAATGCCATTTAGACATATTAATAGTTAAGCTTAAAGTTGTTTAGATTTCAATCTTATTGGGTACATTAAGCGAGAAAAGAGAATGGCTACGGTAATTAGGCTGAGGACACCGAAATGGCTACGGTAATTAGACTTGGAACAACGTATGTGAGAATGGCCATTAAAACGTACAATTAAAATTCTCTTCACGCTGTCGAATGATAAAAACTCTAACGGTACATTAAAAATTCGATTGATGATTGAATCGCATCCGGGGCGATTTATGTTTGGAGTTGTGAGACTCAATGGGGAGCCGGTACCGATAAGAGGATTCGGATTCAGTGATTCGAATCACGTCTCGGAGTCGAGATTACCCATGTCTAGTGGACGTTATCTCTGAGCTCAACAATTTATGTTACAATTTCGTAATTATATCGCGGCATTTATACGTAAAAACTGCATATCAACACAGATAACATCTACAGTCGTAAAAACCAAAAGTGTTAACCAAAAGTGTGCGAATGTAGATGAAAAGTGGTAACATAATTTTACAAACACTATATACATCTATAAATACAGAATCAAACAGTTTAAAGTTTGCATGACAAGTTAACCTCAACAACATCCGGCCACATAAGTCAAAATGACAGCTGCTTGGCAAGTGACCATAGTACAATTTGCAGTTTCGTTCAAAATCTAAAGATAATAATAATAATAACGCACACGCTCAATATAGCCTCGCACTAGGATAACCCTGTGTCGCGGGTGCCATGGACACACATAGACAACCACATATTACACCCAAACTCAGGAGAGAAATAGTGTAGGCCATACAAATATTTCTCCCGGCCTGGGAATAGAATCTGGGACCTCTGCGTGGCAGTCCAGCATGGTAACCGTTCGGCCAAGGAGGCAGTTAAATAATGCTAGTATAAAATAGTTATTATCAACTAATAGAAACTTATTAAAATGGATCAACAATTGAAAACCTTTGAGAAAAATTAAAAATAGAATTACAACAACATACTATAACTACAACACAGAATATAACTAAAACGCTGTCGAAAACTATAGGAGAACAAGTTATTGGGGAAAATAAAATTTTGAAAAAAGAAGTAGATCTGAAGACGAAAATACAAAGTCTGGAAAAGGAAGCAAGGAAAAACAACTTGATCCTTCATGAAATACCAGAAATGGATAACAATAACAGTGAACTAATGAAATGTAAGCTAAAAATTTAAATATTATAAGCGAAAAAGCAAATACCTATACCTGGGATCAATGGGAGATGAGCAGAGCAATCCATATCGGTAAAAAGAAAGGTTCTAAGTGTAGACCAATTTTAATAACTGTAACTTTAATGTGGAGAAAAATACAGGTTCTGAAGAACAATTAACTTTTCCCTCAAAATATATATAAAACAGCAATAAGGGCATTATTATTATAATTACAGTTCAGAAGCCAAGGCCAACAGCTTTAAATAACTGAAGGACTTTCCTGGCGCCAACAGTTTCAATGTACTCTGGTTATGGCCTATGTCAGGATGGAACTTTGAAGCCCTTAACATATCTACTTTTATTTACTTATAAAATGTTTGAGATATTTAGGCACCTGATACATCACAAACGTTTCCTTGGAAACATTATAGAAAGTAAGTTCAAAGAAAAGCAAAATGCACAGGAAAACCAAAATTGAAGTTATTAGAAGATGGTTGGCGATTACTCTAATGACAATAGCCTAGCTCTTAAGTATCTTAATGATAAATAATATAAACATAATATAATATAGTATTTGAAAGTTTATAAGTAGAAAATTTCCTCAAGGGCTTTACTCTGGGGCATCATGCCCAGAAGGTCGACAACACTCTACCCCTTTGTATAGCTAAACTCATTTATTGGCAGAAATTACTGCAAGCTTTAGGGTCACTGGAGGCTTCTACAAGGAAATCAGACAGCTCATTTGACCTCCTGTTTAAACCGTAAAAGCACAAGGCTGTAGCACTTGTAGTATTTGAGCTTTTAACGATTCTCGGCCGCTCTGGCAACAAAAGTCCGCACCACTCAAGTTTGCAAGGGGGTGGAGGCGTTACGTAGACTTTTTGGTTTGCTTGAAATAAAATTTTCGCATATTGCACCACTTTGTGTGATTTTAACCACATGAGGCCAAAAGTTGCAGATTTGTAAATTATCATGTACTAGACTGGAATGTACCTATTAAATTGTGTTTACTTACACTTTCTCACCCTTTTCATTGACGCAATGGTACTTTTGTATATGCCTCTGTGCTGAGAAGAAAACGGGGAACAATGTATGACATTTCGGGCATTTGAACTCAATTTTTCGCTCATTCGCCGACTTACAACCCTTCACCTTCTTCGCGGCTTTCTGTTCAGTCCGAGAAACTTCTTCGAGAGTAATAGTTTTTTCTTTTTTGTCCTTTTCAAGAGGCATATTTTTTACACCAATTTTAGGCGTAACCTTTCTGATTTTTTTAAGAATGATGCCTTTCTTAGGCTTCTGCACTTTACTGGCTACAGTCTGAGATCGAAGATCGACCTTCGATACCCTTTTTTCTTTATCTTTTAACGCAATTGAATGCAAGGTGCGTTGGTGAGACTTTAGGCCTTCCGCACTTATCAAATTTCGACCACAAAACTCGCATTTGAAGGCACCGCGGCGGGTTCTCGTGTTCGCTGGTGATCTAGCACCCATCTTTCGCACTCCATCTGAGTTTTAACCTGGATTGAAACATTTATTTCTTCGAATCTGAAGAATAATCGAAATACAACGGCGTCCCCAAGACGCTGACGCACTTTGACAGTAGTTTTTTTAATATAATTGGAATGTGAATCGTCGTCGCCCAAAACGACCGAAGACGGAGCCACCTGAAATGGCCCATTCACAAGAGAGTGAATTTCACTTTTCACAATTTCAATGGCACTTTTTGAGTGATTTTTGTAAAACCCTTTTTTGGTTTTAAGGTCTTAAACGTACAAATAAGTTAAAGCAAGGTCAATAATTATAAAATCACAAACAAAAAAAAACGATATTTTTAGGTCACACGAATGAGATTGCAGTAACACGAACGATTTTCTCATAAACATAAATGAGAAAGACGGCGCAGTAATGTAATGTAATATAATTATTACAACACACATTTTATCGTTCGCAAAAGATCACTTAACAACATTTAACGTGTAATGTTAAATGTAACAAATATTTTAATATAACTTTTTGTATCAAAATCCTTCTCATCCGTGTAAGACCATCTATTTACTTATATGTAGTTAATAAATAAATCTAAATAAGTATTTTCTTAATGTCATATAAACTTTGTTGTACATCAATATATCATCATCACCACCATGAACATTATCATCAGCATCATTACCATTCACATCATCATCACAATTAATGACGATAGGAGTGGACTGAGTAGCAGGCAGCGGCGGAGGAATACACTTATTTTGATGAAAATTTTATAATAAATTCAAAACACAGAACACACTTCACCGCGAACCAAAAAACAATGAAACAAAAATGTAATTCAAAATACAAAAAAAAATAAAAACTTATTCCAAGTATAAAAATTACATAAAAAAGAAGTAAAAAAATCTATATGTATGAAAAAGATCTGTCGCCAATAACAATCATCGTCATTATCACTACAATCATCATCGTCATCATCATCACCACCATCATCATCGTCATCACCATCACTATCACCATCTAATCGTTCTATTTTATTTCCTTAAATGGTGGCCACTAGGCTTGGGCTAATTGTAACATTTCAAGTAAATGTTTGGCTTAAAGTAACTACTTGACTTAAAAGTAGACAAGAATCAGACCGACAATAATGATATTTAGATACATTTTTAATTGTCAAGAGTGTAAAATATGCTGGACCGTTATAAAAGTGCACGGATATTAAAGTTCCCTTTGTCTAATTGATGTACAATAAAGAAAACGGTGATGCACAGGTTAGGTACTTCACTGTGTACACTCCAATCCAACAGGAGCCCCTTCTCATGTGTGCGAAAGGTGAAGGTGATGCGGTATAAATTTTTGTTATTAGGACGCTTTTAGTTGAATTGACACTAATGATAAAAAAAATAAAACACATTTTGTATCCCCAAGGAAACATGTTTGTTTATAATAAATTGGAAAGTTACGGTATGTATTCGACGTGTAAGTTATTAGAGTTTATCCTCGATGAGAAATATTGCGATTTGCGAGTGTTTAATTTTTTTTCTTTTCTTATAAAATTAGGGCGACGTGGAACCGGCTCCAGTGAATGAAAAATTGCCCAAATTTTTTAATTTTTATTTATTACTCTGACGTAGTAAACTAGTCTTTTTGTGTGTAACACAGACTAAGCAAGCAAGCAATCATATTAAATAAATAATGCTTAGCATTTATGTAATAACATAAAAGTTTATAAAAGGGACACATTTTTGGAAGTTATCTGAAAACGACCCTAGAAAACACGACTTGATTGGATGCGTTCGTTTTATTATAAAGGGCCCTGTACATTTATCACGGAGAGTATCAATTTGTAGCGTCATCTAGTGTCGAGTAGATTACAACAGCTTTGGCATGTCAAGACATGTCATAGCGGTCAATTATACAATTCATGATTCAAGGAGTTCGGATTTACTTATACGACCTTAAGATTATTTTTCATGCGAAGTATTGCGTTTATTATTGATATATAATTTTTATGGTAATATTTATTAATTTAATCAAGAAACAATAAAAAGCAACAACATACAATAAACCATTGCCAGCTATATTAAATACTACAAGAGTTACTAATAAATGTTGAGCGAGGTGCCTAAAATAGCCACTGTTTGGCTAAACTAAATATTTGAGTAGGGTGGCTGCCAACCTTTGAATCCATTAATATAATTTTGTAATAAAATACGCACTAAAACCCCATGAACCTAGGATTACCACCCCGAAGAGTGCGAATATATGTTATGGAGGTGGGTTACATAAGGTGCACATGCATTTTCAAACTGATTTATATGTTTGAACACCCAGTCGCGTAATGTCACGTAACTACTGATTTAATAGTGTACTCAACTGAATCGGAGTATACACTCCCAAGTGGCTTCTAACCGCCTCTTATAGCCACCCTTGACCTCACAACTGAATTATTAGACAACAACATCACGGTTGATTCCAAAGTACGTAGCCAAAGCTCTGAGGTGCCTCCGTGGCCGAACGGTTACCATGCCGGACTGCCACGCAGAGGTCTCAGGTTCGATTCCCGGGCCGGGAGAAATATTTGTATGGCCTACATTGATTTCTCTCGTGAGTTGGGTGTAGTTTGTGGTCTATGTATGTGTCCATGGCACCCGCGACACAGGGTTTCCCTAGTGCGGGGCTATGTTGAGTGTGTGCGTTATTATTATTAAAAAAAAGCACTTATGGAAATCGGAAACAACGACGGTACCACAAACACCCAGACCCGAGACAATATAGAAAAGTTAGTTTCTACATTGATTCGGCTGGGGATCGAACCTGGGACCTCAGAGATGGCGACACCATAAAAACCGGTGTGCACTCGACCATGGAGGCCGTCAAATTGAATTCTAGTCAGTGATTTTAATACATGACACTGCGTGCGTTTACTGGTTACCCACTGGTAAAACTAAACAACTCTCTCAAAATTTGTTTTGTAATGTATGCACCGAATAACAAAGAGCCAATATATCAACGTTACTTCTGCACCGAGCAGTAACATAATTCAGAATACATGGGCGAGCGCGGGTGTTATACACTTCTTAAATCAACCTTCAAGTCGCGCCATTACAGATTTTTCGATATGTTATTCGATTACGTGAATGGAGTTGAATTAATTCGAGATTCGCGACAATCGTCGACTTCACTGGTTAATTTCATCGCAATTTTTCATTTGGTGAGATCTTAGGAGTTCAAAATGCATGTGTTTATAATTTGAGACAGGGTCGGACGGAGTGGACAGTGTCTACAAAACTTTCTACAAGTTCCTACCTTCTATGTACCAGTTAAAAAATGTTTGTTTTATGGGATTTATGATCAGCGAACTCAAGGCAGAAGATAGTTAATTGATCTTGGCTAGCTAATAGCACTGTATTATGTTATTGCAGATGTCTGGAAAATGTGGTGTGATGTAGACGTCTCTACTGACGGAATTGGAATAGAAGTTGTAATTATACCAATGAAGCAGGCACAGACTTGTTACAATCCCCACACATCTCTTACTTATCCTCCCCAAAAACAAAAACAGAAAAAAAAAAATATATATATATTTTTGCATTCTTAAACATAGTTTTTGAGGGAACCTATGTGGTCTAGTAAGCTTTATAACATTGAAATAATAACCTGGATTGTCAGCATATTTGTATAAAGTTTGCTCCAACTTTTACGTATCTTCCTTATTTACTAAAAATAGAACTATTCATCAATTATGTCTGTCTGAACACACAACCCCCACAACTTAATTTCATCTTCACAAGCTGTCAACAAAAAGTCATCCGTAGGATGGTAACTCAATGATACAACAGCTTTATTCATTGTATGTACTAATTTCTGTGTACAAGTACTGGATATTAAGTCCCAGAAGAAAATTTCACCAGTGGCTGAGCCTGAAATAATATGGCTGTCTTTGGCGTTAATTGCATTTTCTAACAAGTAGTCTTTACTCTTGTGCCCTGTATAACTGTTTAGAAGTTCGCCTGGAACAAATAAATATTGTTATTTTGAAAATTGAAATATTTGGCTGTGGTCTAGCAGTGTGTTTTTTTAATAGCTAGGTATATTATTCTCGAAACACATTATTTTTTGCTTCCAGCATCACTAGTAAATCAAATAAAAAAAACTATATGAACACTTAATTTTCTGCATTTTTTTTTTACAACATCAAGTGACGGTACAGACAAGTCGTGCACCTGATGGTGAGCTACATGCCTGTCTATAACAGTTACAGTGCCACTCAGTGCTTTAAATTTCAAAGATCTGAGGGGCACTACCACTGCCTCGTCACCGTGACACATAAGTTAACAAGTCCCATGTGCCTGTAATTTCACCAGCACCTTTACCCTTCAAAACTGCAACATAGTAATGCTGACATTCCTGCTTGGCGGCAGAAATAGGTAAGGTGGCTGTACTAACCTGGATGAATTCTTTCAGATTGAGCTCTACTACTAATAAAAGTAGTTCTTGTTTAAAGAAATGTAAGCTTATATTGTTGAAGATAAAGATTATGTTGTATTGTTGTTTTAACGCAGTGTAGCATCACTATGCCATTTGAGGAGAGGGTAAATTTTGAATGTTGAAGCCATACTGCTATCAACTTTTTGATATCAGCTTTTATTATCACCAGTCTATGACATGACTTTTTGGTTTTCTTCCGCTATATCATGTACACAAGTTGACTGGTTTGGTTTAGTTGTAAAAAACCTGTGATAATCGCTAAGTAAATAATTATTTGTTTACTTTTTAAAACTATTTTTTATTGAGGCTTTAGCCACCTTGAGCGACTATGTCAGCCTCATGGGAGGGATACTGGTTTCCCTACTCACGGGACATGTTCAAAAACTTGAACAAGTTTAGAGCTCCATTACATACAGGCTCTCTGAGCTAACAATTTGTGCATTGCATAAACTTATATTCCCAAACATTGTACCTCTCAGGGCTACGTTATGGTTACATTTCACCAATACATGATACAGATCCTCTATTTTATTGCAAGTACTGCACAAAGGGGATGGTTTAAAACCTTGGTTTAAAATATGAAAGAATTTATTAGTTGGAATGTGATCAGAATGCAGTTTAAAAGCCAATACAAGATATTTCCTCACTATATTGACAGAATCAAACCAACCCACTGTGGATTACTCTGGATGTTTCTGTACCATATTCCAAGGCCTTTATCCACTGATTGTTCTCCAAAATGATATTTCCATTTATCTAGAGTTCTTTTCTTAATTAGTGGAATAATCTCGGTAATAATGATGAAATTTATATACTTACCGGAATCTTTATCAAATAATCGAATAGTATCATCATTACAATTTAACACATAACATTGCCCGTCATGGGTTAAACTTGCAAATGTAACAATGTGACCAATGTAGTCTGAAATCATCTTTCCCACTCTTATATCGTACAATCTTATGTGACAATCAACGGATGATGTTAAAACCTGCAATAACAGATATATGTCATTACAGCCTCGCCAAATTTTATTCCTATAATGTGATTGTATTGTCCCTAACACTAAGTAAATTTTATAGGACTATGTATTTACAGTTTTGTATAAAAAAAACATAACTACCTCATGATCAGTCACTTGTATAGACGTAATGGTGTCTTTAGCATCCTTTAAAACTTGAACAGGCTCTTGTCTCCTACTTATAATGTCCCAAAAAGACACAGTGTTGTCAACAGATCCAGAAACAGCCATTGTAGAGTCTTCGTTAAACTTTATACATGTGACAGAACTTGCGTGGCCTCTATACCTGCGAATAGGCTGTCCTGTAGTTACGTCCCATAGAATTACCGACTTATCCGTGCTACAGGATACTATTTGACTACTATCGCAGGATCCAGCTGCGTCTAGCACTTCGTTAGCGTGACCACCGTAAGTTTTTAACAAAAGTTGACGGTGTGGGTTCCATAATTTTATTTTCTTATCAGCACCGCAACTGAGGCAATAAGTGCCATCTACGTTGAATCTCACAGCGCGTATTGCTTGTTGTTTGCATTTTATTGTAGCTATTGTTGCCAATTCAGTCATTTTCTTAAGTTTTTGTTGGTAAATAAGAATGTAACCTAAAATATTAATCACAAACTACTAATGTCAAAATATTGCGATTTTTATTTTGTTAAAATGATGTAACCTACTTATTTAGACAAGGACATTGCTTACAGTGGTTGCGTATCTGTCATCTGTGTTGATAAAGCAAAATGTTACTACATGAAATTGAAATGAACAGAGGATTGCCATTAGTTTCGCTACTTGCCAATAGATGACGCTGTATCTGTTTCAGGTGTTGCCATACCAATATTATAATTTTATCCTCTCATCTGGTCACAAAAGCCTAAAAATATCGTCGCCATATTGGTATTGTCAAAAAGTTCGGGCTTATATCGGTGCCGTGGAAAAAATGATTTCTCGTCTCGTTACGCGTGAATATTCGCTGTTTGAGTGATATATCGTGTACGGTTGTGACTTTAGATGTTTCGTTGGCTGTTTCACCCGTGTGATTCAGTTCGCAAATGATGTTTTCTGTGGAGAAATGTACAGGGCGCAATGGAACGGGTGCTTCAGAGGAATCTGAATTGTACGCCGGTGGTGGAGAAGCTATGGGGAAGGAGGGTGTGCCTTCTGACGAAGTCGCGTCAGCTGTGGCGGCGGTGTCTGACGAGATAGGTGACATCTTGAAAGACGAATTGGGCGATGCGGACAGGGCAGACCGAATCGGAGCCGAACTAGCGGATCTGAGCGCTGAACTCGGTTTCCTGGCTGGTCTGGCTGACGGAGAATCTCAACCAGACTTCGCTTCACGTTTCGAAGTGCCATTCGAATGGATAGCCGTAAGTGCAATACCCTTAATCGTCAAAAATTTTTATTTCATTCCAATTATTGCAAGCATCGCCAAATCACGATATTTGTCATTAAGAAAACTTAACCTTGTCAATACAAAAACATTTTTGGTGATAACTAACTGGGGTTACATAAAATTCGGGCTTTGAGGAGTGTCATTCAATCCGTGGTCATTGACCTGTGTGATTTTTTCAATCAATTAGCACAAGTATGTAAACTTTGCAAATCATAATATAGGTATTGTCTTGGTATGTTTTCATTGGAGCATGTTCTATGTGATAATCTTACTACAATTATATTATCAATTATACCGCTACATCATCAAGGTGTAGTTTCGTATTATTAATTTCTAATACGGTTGCTTTAAAGGTTAGGGAAATGTATGTACTTAAATTGGTATATACGCAGGACTCTTAGATGAAGTAACTAGAATTTGGTGACAAGTGGTGACGTGCCGGACTAAACTAGGGAAATCCCTGAACTGTGTGTACCAGAGGACCAGAATTCTCTCTGTGGCACTTTCTAGAATACCTAGACTAGAAGCAATAGAGAAAAGTTCATGATCCAAATCGCTTACACTGGGAATTGAAACCGGGACCTCGTCATCCACTGCCCGTTGTGCAAACCGCTGGGTAACCGAGGTTGTCAAAATAAATGGTCCTTATTGTCTTTTCTACAACAAGCGTTATTCCAAATCATCTTGCAGCCTCTAAGAAACCCAGTATGTTACTATACAAAAACCTGTAATATTAAATACATGCTGAATTATCAGAAAGCTCATGCAATTCATCACAATACACTCAACATAGATACACATTTTACTGCATTTACTTGATTTTGATTTGTAATTGTGGTGCCCCGACACAGTCCATGCAGCACTTGCTGCACCTGCATGAGAGAAGATCGCTACATGGCTACAGACGGCACAGTCAAAGTAGCAACATATCATTCGAAGTTAGTAAATAAAAGATGCATTGACATAATAAGAAGAAGGTCTGTATTTGTAATTAAAACTGACCAATAGGCGTAGAAAAGAAAACATTGTGGTAAAATTGTCAGAAATTTTATATTACTTAATATTTTACTCTATGCTGGTAAGACTAATTAATGCTCACTTTATATTACGGTGGAACGGAATGGAAGCAAATTTTTGTAACAGTATTGTACATAAGACAACACAGAACCTTCTCATATGTAAATTCAATTGACAATGAATTTGTAAAACAATATTTAATATTATTATCAGGGTGTTTTCAAGGTCTGTCTGTCAACTGTGACCACTAATTGATTTATTGTGGTAATTATGACTTGTAGCCAAAATCTACTTTAATCTGTTGAATTTTCTTGCTTTTATTGTCTTTGATCAGCACTCAAAGAACAGGATGTTCTAGAATTGTGCCTTGACACTGTTTCAATGTAGCACAGAGACACCTTGTGGAATTGAACTCCTTGTGAAAAAGTTCTTCCAGGAAAGTACAGTTTTATTGAAATCGTTTACCGTTTTATGATTTTCTTCAAAATGAAATGGGACAATTATGGAGGTACCCTCTTTTCAACAAAAAAAAAAGAATCGTGAAAATCGGTTCACAAATACCGGAGTTATCGCGTAACATACATACAAAAAAAAATATCACATTCGAATTGAGAACCTCCTCCTTTTTTTGAAGTCGGTTAAAAATACGTCGAATTGTGAACCTCCTTTTTATGAAGTCGATTAAAAAAGCGAGAGATGCGTGCGAGGTACGAGAGCGAGCTCGCCGTCGCTTCACCTCCGCCCACCACACCGCACCCCATCTGCGCACAGCTGATAGAGTCCGCCACTCATCATCACACCGTCTAGCTACCTCGCACATCTCTGGTGGAACCGCAGCCTTAGACCATGCCTTTACACTGGCGTCATTTATATGCGTTGATAATCGTTGTGACTTCCTTATTTGCAAACTTTACAGCTTTTTAAATTTGATTTATAACCTTCAATTACAGACTTGTATAGCCAATTACAAAGTTTGTCTGACTATAATTCATTTTTAATGTTACATAAAACAGAGTTTAATGCTAAAGATCATAGTCCACTGAAGTATAAAAACTATACCCACAGCGTTCAGAAATGACATTTCCAGATTTATAGAAAAATATGTATACTTTATAATGTATGTGTTGCTTTATCGTGGTTACTGGGTGTTAGGGAATAAAAAAAATTATATAGAACTATAAAATAAACTATTATATATATAATTATATAGCGAAAAGAAAATAAGCACGTTACTAAAATAATTTCGATATAGTGAGTTGAAATGTGGGGTGTAAGGGGGACCCCAACACCTTGCCCCCTAAGCCAACCTAACCTGCACCAGTGGTGCACCGGAAGATTGTAGATGAGGACTGATTGAGCTGGCGTGCAAAAGAGGATGCCTATACCTAGCAGTGGGTGTTAACGGGCTGAGATGATTATGGTGTGCAAAATATTTGTGTGTTATACAGAGAACGATGGCGGTTTTATTTGTACTACAACTGTCCGCGCAGGGTTCGTGCACGAGTGTGACGATAATTATTTTGACAGAAAGTCTGACAATAACCTAATTAGTGTTGTCAAAAGGTCAATGTGTCAAAGTCAAAGAATCATTTCTATTCTATCCGCTCTACACGTCTTTCAACCCTGACGTTGGCGAAATCGTTGCGCAAAACGACGGAGCCATAGATACAAAAGTTGAAGTTAAAGTTTAAGTTTCTCGCTTCTCTTGAAGAATTTTGCCAATGTCAAGTCAGTCATGGGAGTTACACTGCTTTTTAGTCTATTCCGGCTTCTGGAACAATAAAAAACAACACAATATACTATCACCATTACATATATGTATGTTAATATAAGTATATTAGTTTTATAATTTAAGTTTGTTAGTGCTAATAAAATCAGATATTAATTCTACGAGGGGATTAGTAAAAACTGATAATAGAAACTTGACATTTACGGAGTGAGGAATAGAAGGTGGAAGACTATCATAAATGGAACATGTTCTGGTAGGGCAGCTGAAGAATATGTGGTCTGGAGTGCCTTTATCCAGGCCACATTCACAAATTGAGCTATCGCGTATTGTAAGTTTTGCCAGATGGACTGGGGTGCAGGTATGACCAATATGGAGTCAGCATATTGTAGATGTTACAGTTTTACTAAATCCCTTATAGATAAAAAACCAAGGCTTTTTGGGAATACATGTTTGGGTGTCAGCAAAATATTTGCCCTTAGTGAGTTTACTTTTGTTCCACTCAGTGCTCCAGTAGTAGCTAGAGGCAAGAGATCATAGGTATACATCTTATAATGCAAAAGACAACCTGTTTGAATAGCATTTTTTGCCAACTTGTCTGCGGTTTCATTGCCTTGGATCTCACTGTGCCCTGGAACCCACGCTAACACAACTTGTATATTATTACAATGACATTGGTATAAAACTTCCTTGATCTTCAGGATAATATGGTGTTTAGTTTTACCAATGAATTGGTTTGCCAAAATAGCCTGTAAACATCTTTTTGAGTCTGAGAAAATTGTACTTTTGTTCAGTTTGTGGGATTCAACATAACTAAGGGCTTCAAGCAGGGCTGTAGATTCCCCTGTGAATATTTATGCCTGAGATGGACATTTGCAGTTTAAAATGATTCCATACTTAGGGATCCATACAGCTGCACCAACACAACCATCAGCTGCCAGTTTAGAAGAATCCGTATACATGGTAAGTCAACCTTGTCAGTCTTTAGCTAGAGTTTTATTAAACTGTCTGTCCACAGCAGGGGCATCTTTGTAAATGCCAAAGTCTAGGATAATTTTAGGTTTAAATATTATTACATCATATGGACAAGAAAAAAGAGGACTTTTAACGCATTGAAAGACAGGATAATTAATTTTGATAAATTTATGATAGCTTTAGAGAATGCAGGGTATCTCTTTGACTTGCCAATATTTAGAGGATCTAGTTAGATCAGATAGTTCATGGAGCTTGGTTAGGAGAGGATGAAGGGACATTTGTGCAACCTTATGAAAAATCTATCAGCTAGAAGCTGCCTTCTCAGGAAGAGTGGAGGTTCGATACACTCTACCTGGAGAGCATTTATTGGGGAAGACTTCATGGCACCGATGAAGAGACGGAGGCACTTTGACTGGATTTTGTCCCACAAATTGACGACAATTTTGTAACATGGTTCCAATAAAAAAGATTAGAAGATGATTATGGCATTATACAATATTTTTTGGCAGAATGGATGGGAGCCCCGTCTAGTGCCTTACAAGGAGCGGAGAATATTAATGCTTCTCTCTTACTTTTTGGCAATATAGGTTAAATGGGGGGCGCCTGTCAATTTAGAATCTAAAATGATGCCCAAAAATTTGAAACTGTCAAATACTGATATACGCTGCTTTAGAATAGCGATGGAAACTTGTGGTATACTCTTTTTCCGGGAGAAAACTACTACACCACTTTTAGGAGCAGACAAAGAAAGATCATGGTCAGCTAACCAATCACCAAGGTACTGTAGAGCGGAATTCAGACGGAAACAAATGTCATCCAGTGACGAGCCGTGGGCATACGTAATCAGATCATCATCGTACTGGAGGATACTACAAAAACTGTTCACTGATCTCTCCAGATCATATGTATAAATATTGTGCAGCAAAGGACTGAGAACAGACCCTTCCGACCCTTCCAAACGTTCCTTGATGCAACCAAATCTCCTTGGAAACGAATCAAGCATGTCCTGCCCGAGCAGAGATTAAAAATGAAATTGGTCTATCTTTCCGGAATGCTTAGCTAAAATGTCTCTATTTTCCAAGAGCCACTTCAACCGATTTTTAATAAGGTGTAATTTTTGCTAAGGTAGATGATAAAGCGATAGAAAGATAGCTGGAAGAATCGGAAGCATCTTTACCCGGTTTCAGAATCGGAACCACTACATGCGTCTTCCACTCCTCGGGAGGACATCCTGAAAGGAATATGGAGTTAACCAA